ATCACAAGAGATCATACCGGTTCCATGTTTTTCTTTTTTTATTTTATTTTAAATCAAACAATGTTTTAAAATGGCTAGTTTCCCTTTAATAAAACAATTCTCTGATGATGTTTTTTTTTTATTTTACTTTAAGTAATGCTAGTTTTCTGTTTTCTCCTCAGAGTCCAGCAGTGTGAAACCGGTGAGTCACTTTGATTGAACATTTCCTGCACTCCTTCAGGGAGGGTGAGTGAAACAGAAGGTTTGATCTGGTCTCCGTTCTCTGTAGAAATGTTTCCCAGTTACTCCAGAGCCCAGCACAGCTGGAGGCCACGGCAAGGGCCTGGTAGCCGACAAACTCCAACTACATGTAAAGGAAGAGAAGGAAAAGCTGCTTAATAGCGAAAACAGCTCTGCCAGCAGCTCACGGCACAGCCTAACCGACAGGAGGGTGAGACGGATGCCTCAGCTTCGCTCAGGCTTCTGCAGCTTGCTTCTTTTGCCTGCTTGCTTCCTAACAGCTGCTTCCTTCCCTCTGAACCACTTCAGCTCATAAAATCCTAATTTTAAGGATCTTGGAAGCTGAACGTAAAACTCCCCTCTCCCCACTTTAACATTTGCTTCCATTTAACTTCTCTGTGTGTCCTTAAGCTAACCCATGCTAACCCTGAATCCCTCCCAGCTGAGCTCCTTCACCTTTGGACCAGGTTCTGGTTCTGATGAGGCTGTCGGACCTGGATGGGGATCCGATTGCTAAAAGCACGCTAACCTGGGATATCTTCATTATTTGTTAAAGGGTCTCTGCCTGACCTGACATTATTTAGGTGAAGGACTTCAGATAAATGCAGAATAAAGTGCTGAAGTTTCTCTTCTTTGGTCTTTTATCAACATGGAAATCAGATTATAATGAATTTATCTTTCAAATAGAAAATCAAACCTTTTTAGAGCCTCATCAGGAACATTAAAGGAATAAACTTTCTCCTCAAACCAGATTATTTCTCCTCTTTATTCTGTAACTCAGAATTTTTAAATGCTTCTGTGTTTATGGAGATTATAAAACCGGATTATCCATCATCCCTAATTTGGGCTGGCAGACATGGCGACTTTACAACATTTCTACAAGTTCTAGTTCCTCTTCATCATCCCGTCAGAGCAGAGGCTTAGAAATCTTTTTTAGATTGTTTTTATTCAGCGTCCCTAAAACGGCCGTTTGCAGCTGAGGAATTCATGGTTTAGGTTAAATACGGTAGCTATTATAGCTCTGTCATTTATTTAGGTTGGACCATAAATGTTTAAACTATTATAAATGACATCACTTCCTCTAATCTTCCACAATATAAGATAATAAACGCTCTTAGACTCTTAGAGGCTGAATAAAATGCGGCTGTGGACCAGATTCGGCCCACGGGCCTCAAGTTTGTCACAGTCAGATGAAGCACATCATTAAATCAATCAACAAATTGTCAATTTATTTATTTTTAACTACAATTTGCATTATAATGGAGATTTCATTCGTTTCGATGTTCTTCACTAAACGGCTGCAGAGATCCTGACTGCGTGGAACATAAACATCATAAGATCCTGATAGAAAAATGGATTCCTTTATTTTAGACTTTATTTGTCTGTAGAGGAAACCCAGAGGTCTTTTAATCGCTGCTGTTTCCTGTTTCCTGTCCTTTGCTAACCAGTTAGCGTTTCTCTCTCCGCCGCTCTTTGTTTGTGCTTTGGCTGCTGAAACCAGTGCAGGCTCAGGGTTGGATCTCCTCTCCCATTACACCGCTCTACCTGACCTGCACCGGATCTGGAGCTTTAATCTGCGTCTCTCTGTGTTTCAGGAGGACGAGTCGTTTCCCATCCTGGATCCTGTCGACGGTAAAGTTGCTCTGCTTTGATTTAACCTCCCAAAGCGAATCGACCTTTGACCTTCTGAGCCGTACGGTGCTTAGAAAAGTCTATGTAGATGAGCTTTTCTTGGATGTAAATTATTTCAGAATTCTGAAAAAGTGAAACTAATTCACATCTGTCCTCATGACATCATTAGGCAACATGTCTAAGTTTGAACCAAACAACATGGATGAATTTCCATCCTGTTCAGAGTTTTATCAGCTGTTCATTAGAGCATCCTAACTGATGGGCTAATTGAACTGCATCGTCCTCCATGGTCCACTGTCCCTCCATGGCAAATAGAACGGGATGTCTCTAACCGATCCGTACCAGAAGCCCGATTCGTATCGGAAGCACAGCACGATCCGTACCGGAAGCACAGCGTGATTCATACCGGAAACCCGATTCGTACCGGTAGCCCGATCCCTATCGGAAACGCGATCTGTATCTAAGCACAGCCCGATCTGTACCGGAAGCACAGCGTGATTCATACCGGAAACCCGATTCGTACCGGAAGCACGATCCGTATCAGAAACGCGATCCGTATCTGAAGCGCAGTGCGATCCGTACCGTAAGCCCGATCCGTACCGGAAGCACAGCCCGATCCGTACCGGAAACCCGATCTGTATCGGAAGCACGATCCGTATCGGAAACGCGATCCGTATCTGAAGCGCAGTGCGATCCGTACCGTAAGCCCGATCCGTACCGGAAGCACAGCCCGATTCGTACCGGAAACCCGATCTGTATCAGAAGCACGATCCGTATCGGAAACGCGATCCGTATCGGAAACGCGATCCGTATCTGAAGCGCAGTGCGATCCGTACCGAAAGCCCGATCCGTATCAGAAACGAACGCGATCCGTACCAGAAGCCCGATCCGTATCAGAAACGCGATCCGTATCTGAAGCACAGCGCGATCCGTACCAGAAGCCCGATCCGTGTCGGAAATGCGATCTGTATCTGGAGCACAGCGCGATCCCTACCGGAAACGCGATCCATACTATCAGTTCAAGTGCGAGTAGATATTCCTCCATGTTGCCATAAATAATATTATCATGGTTCTAAGAGTACTTCTTTCTATCCCTAAATCAATAATGAATGCTAATGCACTTGTTTAAACACATTTTATGACTTTTCTGAGACAATTTGATGCTTTTTTCCATTTTCTCTGTCTGGGCATGTCCTGATGATGACATCATCAGGACATGCCCAGAGCACTCTGACTAAATCTGATTAAACCATGTTTATCTGCATTTTAGTTGTTTCTTTCTTTAGATGACGCACTTAATACCATAGTGTTAAAGGAAATAATAAAACTTAAAAAGACTAGATTTATGTTTAAATCTATTTTAATGACTTATTTTTTAGTGTTTTTTGAAGCATACATTGAAGCATTTGTACATGAATAAAGGGATACACACCTGTTGAGGTAGTTTAAAGTCTATATTTCTTGCAAAATTAAAGGGATAAACGGAAATTTGACGTCTTGTGCATGCATAGTGACTATCGGTACGCTGATCTGACAGAACACCAGCACAGATCGAGCACAGACCAGTTATGGTGAGTTCGAGCCCCCAGATTCTCCCACAGCGTCCACTCTGGGTCCCTGAGCAAGACCCTTAACCCCACGCTGCTCCCTGGGTGCCGCACATTGGCAGCCCACTGCTACCCAAGGGGAGGGGTTAAATGCAGAGAGGGAATTTCTCCAGTTTCTCCAATGTGAGATCAATAAAGTTCAATTATTATTATTAACACATTATTTTTTTTAGTACGCTTTTTATTTTTAGGAAGGGGAAAACTTAATTTAGGACTTTCTTTGAAGTAAAATCGAGGGCGACCAATATATAAGCTGATTGTACGGATCAGGTAGTGACAGTTGATACTGTTATGAGGTTGTTCAGACTCTGACAGCTAGATGTCAGCAAAGAGCTCCTCTTTGGTTCTTTAAATGTGTAGAAAATTCATCAGCAGCACTTTGGCTTCGTTAGAAAGAGTTTGATGATTCAGGAAAAAAATAAGTAAAAATGTTAAAAAGGAAAAAGTGTTTTCCTCCTGCTGCGCAGTGATTGGTCGGTCAGTCGGTCACATGATGAGAAACTGATTAAAAAGCTTCCATCCTAACGCCGTCTGAAGGTTTTCTGTTCTCTGCTTTCAGGCGTCGAATCTCTGAAGAAGTGCATCGAGTTTTTTGAAGAAGTCGACGTGGATTTTCACAAGAGGTTCTTCCGTCAGCTCAGCTTGAATGACAATATGATCAAAAGCAGGGATTACCTCCCGTATGAAGATAAGATCCACGAACTGCTGAACCACTGGGTGGAGAAGGAGGGCAAAGACGCCAGCCTGAACGAGCTGCTGAGAGTTTTACTGGATCTGAACCAAAGAAGAACGGCAGAGCGCATCGTGCAGAGAGCCGTCGACGGCGGGCATTATCGTCACCAGGCCGCAGCTCTGGAGGTGTGAAGACGACGCCCCGCGCGTCCTAGTCAAAGTTTGGTCACAGACCGCCGCCTGAACAGAACCAGCGTTGAACCCAGCCTGGGGAAAAGTGACTGATGGATCTGTTTCCGTGGTTACGGCGTCTCTTTCATCCTGACTGGATGGTCGGCATCGGCGCATTTTAATCGTTTTCCATTAGCTTATTGTTTTATTACCTGAGTCAAACATGGCTGATGATGTTTATTTAAGCGCCGACCGTTCCGATATATTTAAGCACTGAAAACTGATTTAATTTATTATACGACAGCAGAATATGATCTGAATTTTTCTGCCTTTATTTAATTTTTTTTTACTGTTTAAACCACAACTTTTTTTTTTTCTGACTCAAAATGAAAGTGTTTTATTTAGTTGTTGTTTTTTTGGGCAGAGAAAAGGAAAACAGGTTATATCTGTTTGGGTGTTTCCGTAGATTCCTAAGTGATGAAGTCATTTTTTTACTCATTTGTTTTTGTGTCTATAAAGTGTTCCGTGCTGCTGGACGCCAACGCCGTCATTTTTTTTTGTACCTGTCTTTTCGTTCAGGCGTCTCGGCTCCGTTAAGGAACGTTTTTACTTCCATGTTACTCGTTTCTGTCCTGAAAACTTCCTGTTCATCCGCAGTTCAGTTTATTCTGATTTAAAGATGAATTAAACACAAAGAAAACCTCCACTTGTGTTTGAATTTCAGGTTTAATTTCACTGATCTGTTGTTTTCTCTGTTTATCTGAAAATGCAGCCAAGCTTGTTTACTGCTGAGGTCAGTCAGCCCCGCCCTGTTTAACCGGTTAATCTTCAACCATCGATCTGAGGTGACGTTACCAACAGTTCAGTGATGAACTTTCACCTGTAAGGAGACGAATTTAACATGAACACTTGTTTCCAGTGGATCTTTGACTCCAAAGGTCCCTCTTATTAAAATCAGTAGACTGACAGTATGTCAGTCTGTAAAGACTGACTTCCTGTCATTTTCAGTGGATTAGTCATCAGCGGATGATTGTTTATTCCGTCTCCAGCCTCCTGTTTGTATCTCTTATTCAGAGGTGTCCAAATTATTAGAATACACTGGAAAAACGATCTAGAAATAAGTAAAAATGTCTTAAATTAAGTGTATTTACCCTTAATTTGAGTAGGTAAATGAAATGATTTGCCTATGGAATGAGTATTTTTACTCTTAAAATAAGATATTAAGATAAAATACGCTTGAAGTAAGACAACGAAATTGTGTTTTCTTATTATTAAATGTAAACTGTCTTGTTCCATTGGCAAAATGTGTCTTTTACCTTCATAATTCAAGATAAAATGCACTTATTTTAAGGAAAAATGACTTTTTCCAGTGTAGAAAATCCCTTTATTATCCCTCAATGGGGAAATTCTGATGTTTACAGCAGCAAAAAGATCATAGAAAAAAAAATGGTCACACAAATGTGGACGTTGTAGCATGTATAACAATAAAATAATAATGAAGAGTTAAAATTTACATATTAATGTTTATTACTCCAGTAGGCATATAAAACCTAAGTTTAAAATACTTTTTTAGAACTTAGAGGATCAACCTAACTATTTTATTCCAGTAAAAGTACCATTTTTAAAATAAAAGTCTAAAAGTAAAAGTAATGCCTCTTCTTGAAAAACTTTATTTTGGTATGTAAAAGAAATGAATTGTGTGGATGACACTAATTATTATTTTTAAATACCAACAGGCTATAATGAAAATTAGCTTAAATGAAACAAAATTAATGAGTCTATTATTAAAATGTAAGGAGTAAAAAGTAAAAAATTGGCTAAAGAATAACTACTGCAGTAAAGTATAGATGGCCAGCATTACTACCTCAGTGATGTAATGAAGTATTTGTACTTTGTTAGTGGACGTCTCTGCCCTCAGCAGCCTGTAGTCTCCTGTCGGCTCCTGGAGTCAATAAACTTTTCCAAAGGAATCATTTTCTCCTGGTTCTCTAACAGGTGAGACCAACCCTCACCTTCCTTCTCTGGTTAACAGTTTATTTGTTTAGAGCATTTTGTTCAGTTTATAAAGTTTTCTTTGTACCTAAAATGTTTTCGGTCTGATAGCCACTTTTCAGCTATTACTCATCTTATGACAT